TATAGAAACCGATTTGATTTGGTTTGGTTTGGTTTGGTTTGGCTCTACCGTATGATTCTAGAAATTTTATATAACAAGAAATACGATATATATTTTATAAAAGTAAACAAACCAACAACAATTAGTTTAATTAAGTTGGTTAAGGTTTGTCAATTTCAAAATAAACACAAGTGTTTGAATCTTACTACTAACTTTTATATTCTTATTTTTACAAACAAATATAGTAAACAAATATATCCCAGTTTGGTTCAGTTCAGAACCGTAACCAAAACCATAGGATCGAGAACCGGACCGATTTGAACGGATAACCATTTTCAAAACTGGAACCATAACTGAAGCTAAGGGTGGTCACGGTTTGGATTTGAGCGGTTTGCGGGTCGGTTTGGACCCGTCCGCAACTATGCGGTTTGGGAAAAAAGTCTACCCGTAACCGCCCGAAGTGCGGTTTGTGCAAATAAAGTTCGTGGATGTGCGAACAGTTGTGGGCGGTTTGCGGATTGGACTTTTTTTATTAAAAAAAAAATTTTGAGCCTTTTTTTTTCCCATTTTGTAAATATTTATATTGGGCCATTTTCCGCCTCATTTTCTAAAATGTTCCAACATTAATAATTAATGAATTAAAAAAACACCAATATCTAATATATAAGACAGAAACATACTAAAGTAGTCACTCCCAATTAGTTTCCAGGAATAATGTTAAGGTTTAAAATCACAGAATCACAAGCCCCAAACTAGAAATTACATCATCAAATTTCCAACCACAAACAACTCAATATCACCTAAAAATCCAAAAAATGATAGCTTTACAACCCCCTCCGCATAGATCGGTCTAATATCAAAATCATTCATTGAAAACCAAAAAATGGTAAAACAATAACCTCCAAATCAATCCTCAGCTTACAATTCAGCAAGTAAATATTGACAATTTACTCAGTCCAATTAACAACTTTACAGAAATCAGTAGATAGATAACACACAAAAATATTCATTTTACACATGGGCAAAAACACAAAAAATTACCTTATTATTTCTTGACAAAAATTCTTGATAAAAACGGCACATTTCATCACCCAAAAAGAAAATATTCCCGGAAATCTTTCACATACGAACTCTCACTCCGTCTCTCTATATATGTGTGTGTATATTTTAAGTGTTGACAAACATATTTCTTGATCACATCATATTCAAAACAAAAATATCTAGGATAGATCATAGATGAACGACCCAGGTTTTTTTTTAAAAAAAAAAAAAAATTATATATTCTAAGTGCGGGCGGGTTTGTGGTGGGTGCGGTTCAAACCCGCAACCTGCCTGCAACCCGAAAACTTGCTACATTCCAAACCGCACCCTACCCTATTATAAGTGCGAAACCGCCTATACGTGTGCTAGTCGGGTCGGGTAGGACAGGTTATGCAGGTCGGATAACCTTATGCCTAGCCCTAACTGAAGCTAACAAAAATCGGATCAAACAGGTGGTTTAGACTAGATTGGATCTGTTTACCGGTTCAACCGATTTTTTTGAACACAGGACCTCACTTGAAGTGATGAACAAATATTTCAAAAATCAGATCATGGTGACTTCATTTTTTTTTTGTTTTCCTATCAAATGTATAATGTACAACCTCAAAACAAAACACCACGTGATTAGACCTCAAATTTTTATTGGTAAAGCCTAAGAAGCATAGATACAGACATGAACCAAATTTTCAAAAAACTATTACATAACACTTATGTAACACATGCAAAATATATAATTTTATATACTTATCATACGACATATATAAAGATAAATAATTATTATATGTTATATATATTTAAGTCAAAAATTATAACTTTTATGGTTTAAAGGTGGAGAATATGTATAAATTTGCATTGTTTTTGTTTTATTATTGGATTTCAAGTTACTTTGACTCATAATATGTTTCATTTGTGTCGAAATGTTGGGAAGTGTTCAATGAGTGAAGTGAAGTGTCGTGTCATGTCGATGTCAGACAGAGCACGCTACCTTCTTAGAAGTGTATTTGTTCTTAGAGCAAAGCATTGAAATTTATTAAAACTAAACACCTAGTATAATCAACTTTGTTATGAAAATGACATATGAATGGCCCACAATCTGTGAACTGACTACACCATAATTATCCTCCTCATTTAATCGTAACTCATGTTAAGGTTTGATTTCTTTCTTATGTACCTGCTTGAAGTTTTTCAGTGGAGCCATTCTCTCCTTAGATTAACTTCCATATCAATTATATCAGAAGTCAGAATCCTAACCCTGTTTTGATGCACTATGTTACTGAAGTATATGAAGCTTTGTCCTAAGAGATTGATCAACAAAATTTCTGCAAAAATGCTGCAATGCAAGTACACATAATTTGCCTCCTCTTGCAGTCGAGAGATTCTTCAAATCTGCTGGCGCATGAGGCGGCATTTGCATTGGGTCAGACGCAAGATGTTGATGCTATCTCTGCTTTAAACCGGTTTTTAATGATCTTTCTTTGCATCCCATTGTCTGCCATGAGGTGACATGCTTGCAGCTTTTATTGTTTTTATGTTCTAAAGTACCCTTTATGTTGTTTCCTTGTTAGTTATTGCATAGTTTTTGCTTCCTCATGAATGCACAGGCTGTAGAAGCTCTTGGTGCAATTGGTTTAGGGACCAATGTTCCTTCTTCTGAAAAAAGTTTGGTTGCAGATCCTGCTTAGGAGGTCCAAGAAACATGTGAGTTGGCTCTTAGTCAAATTAAGAAATTGAATAGTGTCCGAAGTAATAATGAATGACAAAGGAGTTGCCTCTTAGCATTGTTTACCCAAACAGACATGGAGAGATGTACGACAAAGGAATTTCCTTGTCCTTGTACCAGAGTTAAGACTTGGAGAACTGGTCTTCAGTTACAATTTCTAATTACTAAGTCGTAATATCGGATCACAGAAATAACCAAAAATTACTTGGAGATGTAAAAAAAATGCATTGAATTCTGGTGATGTATATCAACACAAATAGGTGCTTGCTAAGTTCAGGACAGCAAATCTAAAGCAACCAGATTTTCTAATACAACAATGTATTGACAGAAGAAAGAAAGCGGGAAGGCCATCTATCTAAAAAGAAAGTCATTTGTGGACTAGCAGGTATTTGAGAAGACGGTCTAGAACTGGGTCTAGTCCAGAAAGTGAGCTCTCAACAAAACTAAGCTGGAACTAATCAAGATCTATAGGAAGAGGAGTTAGCTTGGCAGAGAAAGTATAAACTACGTGCTATAAGAACACAAATCCATAAAGTATAAACTACGCGCTCTAATATCCCTTGACAAACCTAGGTTTGGAAAGATTGTTTCCGAGTGGACAACTTTACATAAATAGGGAATAGACTTTCCCTTTTCTTATGCATCATACAATCACCAAACAATTAGAAACTAACAAAAATCTAATAGCAGATAATTTTGATGTGAAACTTGCACAGCAAAGGATAGGCAAACCATGAACTTAAAGAAATTAAAAAATTTAGACTAGGTTGCATTTTTAAGATGTTCATTTTTTTATTTTTATGTATTTTCTTGTTTTGTTCCTCTCTTCAAACTCAAGTTGGTTAGTTTCTATCCTCCTTGAGTTTGCGGGGGGCTGTTAGAATTTACCATCACCTACCACCAATTTACCATCACCTACCACCACCTACTCCTCACCTACTCCTCACCTACTACACTCACCCTCTCCTATATAATGAGTCACTCACCATTTGTAATAGATATCTGTACATCAATCAATCAATACATCAATCAATAATACATCAGTTTCTTTACACCTCTTATTATAAATTTCATTGTTGTCGGTATTGACATGTAGAATGGGACTCTATCTTTATTCTCGTCCGATTATTCAGTTCTTCAAAAGATCTATCAAACTAAACTATGGAGTAAATAATGTGATCAATGAAGAAGTTAGGCGATAATACCTATCTTTAGGACCTTCCTACTTTTCCAATCTTCAACATTTTTAAGGTGACCCACCAAATCCTGTGAAGATTGCTGTTATACCTTTTGTGGTAATATGTATGTTTATGCCTTATAAGGAATATATTCAGATCGATGATGTTTATTTTGGGATCCCTTTATTTTCTAAATTTTTTCAAGCGGCTGTGAGTGAGATCAGTTATGAGAATTCTGTATAGTTGCTTCTATTGACCATAATGAATTACTTCAAATTTTGCACCATTATATTGGTAAGTCCGTCCTACTTATCCCAGTTAAGTATATGAGGTTTTTTGTGGTTGCTATCATGTTCACAATGGAATCCAAATTATATCATAAAAATTAGTTTATAGAAAGCTGTTTATCAAATGTCTATTCTCTCGTAATCTGACATGTTCTCTGCCACAGAAAACGCCACACTACTATTGTATAAGTTTCTCTAAGCTATATGAATGTATAATTATTGAATTAATGTATGATATTTGTTGGAGATGGACACTAATGTGGTTGGACAGTGTTATGAATATCTGCATCCTACAAAGATACAAAGGAAATCATTCTCATTCAACATTTATTTTGGGGATTGTAGTCTTTATTTCCTTGAAGCTATCCTTCACATGTTTTATGAGAAGAATTGGTGAGGTTTCGTATTATCTCCAGAGGTCCTAGTTGTTCCCTGGAGCGTAGTGACTATAAACACAACACAATATCATAGCTGCAGAATTTTGCTAACCGATCATATATAAATGCTTTCTTTGTCACGTTTGAGCCCACTTTCTTTATCTGCATTGCATACTGAAAAAAATTCCATCAATGACCATTGTGTGGCACTTATTGAGGAGTTTTGAAAGGATCCTGAGCCGATTGTTTCACAGAGCTGCAAAGTAGCTCTCTGCACGCTGGAATTTGAAAGATGTGGCAAATCCTTTGTGGTAATTTAAAAATGCAAAATAACAATTTACTTATATATTTTTGGCCAGTGTGCATTTGGATGTGCTCCTCTACTATAGTTCTAATCATGACATTGACTTCTCCGACAAAACCTTCAAAAAGAAGTTAATCTTGACCATTGATGGTAATGGATCAATGAATGTGGTTTCTGGAATTTGATAACAGTTGACAAAAATGAGTGTTTGCACATTTGTTTCATATGATGTTATCCTATTTTTCTTATTTATGTGAATCGAACTTGAAAACAGTGCCTTACAAAGCAGGAAGAAGATCCAGCCAAGGAAGCAGCTTCTCATGTACCAAGTCCGGTCTGTCATCGTGCGGACAGTGTCCAACTCCTTCCAAAATGAAGAGGCTTATATTCGGTAGTTGAGCAGGCAGGGACGAGAAGTATTTCCCAACAGGACCGTCAAGAGGGGTGAGCGTGTCTTGATCACCCCATAAAACTAGCACCGGTAAGTTGATCCTCGGCATCAACTGCACAGGGCTCGGCCCTGGCGGGCCAGTCACAATCGACACAAAAGCATCAAGCGCTTCCTCACCCTGTGCTGGCTCTCTGATGATTTCTACCAGATCATCATCGACAAAGTCCTTATTTCCATACACGGACAACAAGATGTTCTTCAGATTCTCTCTTCGTGTGACTCGCTCGAAGATGAAGGAAGCAATTCCCTTTTGGTTCAACAAGAAGTCAATAAGCCAAAGCAGAGGTAACAACAGTTTAATTCTCCAATCATCGACAATAGCCTTATTGTTCATGCCACCCGCACAGTTCAAGAGAACAAGGGCTCGGACCAGAGAATGAGAAGACTCCGAGGCAGCAATAACACAAGCAAGACTTCCGATGGAGTTCCCAATCAGTACAGTTGGTTTTTGAATAATTTCATCCAAGAAATCTAATATTAGCTGAGCCCATACTTCCATGGTATATGGAAAGCCTAAGGGCTTATCAGAAGCGCCAAATCCAAGAAGGTCAATTGCATAAACGGTGTAACTTTGAGAGAGTGTCAAAATGTTCCTGCGCCAATGAGCAACAGAGGCACCAAAGCCATGAACAAGGAGGAGAGGAGGGCGGTCTTCGTCTGTGCAATGAACCAAGTAATTAATGGTGTGGCCTCTCCATTGCCACTTCTTGTACCTCTCCTTTATCTCTCTAACTTCCAAAGACAACCCCGAGCCGGTTTCGCTGCCAATGCTTGAAACTGTAGAACTGGAGGAAGCTGCAGAAGCAAACACAGATGGGGTGTTGTCAGTATCGGTGAGTTTGGTTCCATTGATGTAACTTATGCCGTGGGGTTGATGATGATGAGGATAATGGTTATGATAGTAAGGTAAAGGGATTACTCTGAATCCTTGAAGCTGCTTTTGCAAAGGCCCCTGGACTTGTAGCAGTGAAGATGATGAAAATTGGCCATGGTGGTTATTGATGTGGTTGAGAAATCTAGCAGATGAGGAGGGTATGATGATAAGGGAAGTAATTGATCCGACAGCCATTATTTGACACAAATAAGAAGGGAATAACAGAGAGTGTTGGTAAGAAGGCCTTGGTCCTGTTGTTGTTGTCTCTTATACATCCAGAAAGAGCAAAGGAGTATGCTGATGGAGAATTATTGACAATCTTTGAAACCTGTGACAGTTTGATATGATATGAAAGGCCTTAGTTTCAATTCACTGGTAACTCTAAAATGCAGATTAATGGCTGGTTCATGTTGTACCCCTTGTATATTTTATCTATATCTATATTGTAGCCAATAGGAAGAGAGCTACGTGGGTCCTTCCATTTTCTATCTCATTTTTCCTCTCCTCTGCTCTCCCTCCTATCCTCAACTTTCTTTTGCTCATTAATAGAGAAAATGTGTACATTATTTCACTCAAAATGTAAATGTGTGGCTGAAATTGAATGTGAGATTTATGTACAAAGTGAATTTTGGCCTCACAATGGTATTTCTGAGGAAAAGTTTTACATATGTATTATGCTTCCTGTTTAATTTATGTAAACTCACACATTTCTTAAATTGTTATATCAAATTACTTAGGTTATGTTTTGATAATAATTTAACTAAAAATTAAAAATAGAAAAAGAAAAAATGTAAAAATAATATAATTGAAATATAAGTTATATATATATATTTTTTAAATAAGTTCATTATCTAAGTAGGGCAACGGACCGAGCTCGTCATATTTAAGAGCTTTCTTTATGGCCTAAGGATTTCCTATCTCCAAATATCCGTTCCAAATCATTCACAACCATTAGATATGTCTTAAGATTTTCAAATCTTGAAATTCTCATATGATCCAATGGTTGTGAGTGATTTGAGATAGATGACATAAATATTTGGGGACAGGATATCCTTGTTCTTCTTTATGTATGGAGAGTTATTGGAGAAGGCTTTCTTTATGTATGGAGAATTGGAGAGGGCTGTTTGGCACAAGTGGCTCTAATTCGGGTATATTTTTATTGATAATTCAAATTGTATAATATGTAGAACTCATCAAGTATATTATCTATATAAAAAATCATATTGATTGAATATCGATAATTATTTGATTAGATTACATTTTCAAAATAATTTTTAAATATAATTTTCAAAATAAATTGCAATAGAAATGCAATAGGATCAAAGAATATCCAATCAACATAATTTTTTATAAAGATAATGGGCTTATTTGGTTTATATCTCAAAATACAATTTTTGAGAAAAAATTTCAAAATTTTATTTGGTTCAAATTTTTTTTAAAAAAATTCCAAAATCACTTTGTCTCTCCTACGCATCAATCAATCACTTTTTCTCTCTCCTCTCTCATTCTCAATCATTTTTTCTCTCACAAACATCTCCTCAACTACAACAAAATATCAAATCATTCAAAATTCTTAAACTCCAAAATTATTTTCAAAATATACAAGCAAACCAACCAAAAAAATTATAAACTCTCTTCACAAATTTTCTTTCACAAATCAAAAACAACCAATAATTTTACATATTAAACTGTTTGAATTATTCACAAGAATCCAAATTTGAACTCACCAATGCTGAACGGCCCTTTCCAGTCTGGAAAGGATGACGCCGGACCGTCTGGTCTGGTCTGGTCTGGTCTGGTCTTGTCTTCTTCTATTCTAATGGACAGTTGGTTTGGTGGTTTGAGAAACCATTGATGCGTCCCGCTGTAGGTAACTTCATTCCCGCCAAATCAACCCAAAACCCTGCCAAAACCTTACTCTCTCTCTTCCCTCTCACCAAAACCCTCTCTCTCACCCAACAGCTACACTCCCAAATCATCCTCAATGGTCTCTATCGTTCACTTCTCTTCGGTTCCAAGCTCTCTAACTCCTACATCCAATTGGGTTTTCTCCAATTCGCTACCAAAGCTTTCGATTTCATTACTGTCAAGAACTCCTATTCATATAACACCATCGCCTCTGGATTCTTCAAGAACAAACGTTTCTCCGATGTTCTACGGCTTTTCAAACAGATGCGAACCGAAGGTTGTTCCGTTGATAGTTTCAATTTGGCATTCGCAATCAAATCTTGTATTGGGTTGTCGATTTTGCAAGATGGGAAGTTGGTTCATTGTTTGGCAATCAAATCCGGACTCGATAGAGATCCTTATCTTGTCCCTGTTCTCATAGATGTGTACTCTGATTTGGGTTCTTTGAAAGATGCCCAGAAATTGTTTGAAGAAATTCCTGAGTGGAATTCAGTTATTTGGGGTTCTATGATGAAAGGCTATCTCAAGTCTTCAGAGCAAACCAAAGTTTTTGAGCTGTTTTTGGAGATGAGAACAGCTGGTTTTGAATTGGATCCATTTACATCTGAATGTTTGGTTCGGGCTTGTGGAAATGTTTCTGCTGGCAAAGAAGGTAAATCGGTTCATGGGTTCTGTATAAAGCACAATTTCATGAATTCCAACAACATTTATTTACAGACATCACTTGTAGATATGTACTTGAATTGTGATTTGCTTGATTTTGGACTCAGATTATTCAAAGGGGTGTCTAATAAAGATGTAGTTTTATGGACTGCAATGGTTGCTGGATTTGCAAAGAATGGCAGAGCTTGGGAAGCTATTTCCTTGTTTAGACAGATGTTGGGCGAGTCGATGATTCCAAATTCTAAAACATTAGCTAGCATTATTCTTGCTTGTTCCCACATGGGATCTCTACAACAAGGAAAGACAGTGTTCATGGGTATATGATAAGGAATGGGGTGGAATTAGATGTAGTGAATTATACCTCTCTTATTGACATGTATGCTAAATGTGGTTCAATTTTTGCAGCTCACGTGGTTTTCAAGGAGATGCCCATGAAAAATGTATTTTCATGGACTTCAATGATCAATGGGTTTGGAATGCACGGTCTCTTGGATGAAGCAATAGCTGTTTTTGACCAAATGATTTCAGATAACCAATTACCCAATTCCATAACATTTGTTTCGCTTCTGTCAGCTTGTAGCCATTCTGGAAGGGTTGAAGAAGGATGGAACTATTTTAAATCCATGAGTAGGGATTATGGAATTACTCCAATGGAAGAACATTTTGCTTCCATGGTAGATTTGTTAGGTAGAGCCGGGAAGATAGACGAAGCTTTATCCTTCATAAGTGACATGCCGAGGGAGCCTGGAGCCAGTGCCTGGGGTGCCCTGTTGAGTGCATGTAGAATTCATAAGCGGCTTGAATTGGCAGAGGAAGTGGCCAAGAGACTCCTTCCTTTAGAGCCTGATAAGTCTGCTGTGTATGTTTTGCTTGGCAATATTTATGGCGATGCTGGACTGTGGGAGATGGTGAAGAAGATGAGATTAGAAATTGGTGAGAATGGACTTCATAAGAGTGTTGGTTTTACCTCAGTTGAAGTTGATACAAAGTTGTATGTTTTTAGTTCCAATGATAAACTTGCTAAAAGGGATACAGAAGTTGAGGTTGTATGGACTTCTCTACACGAGCGAATGAGAGAACTTGGTTACGTGCCTGATATCAGCTTTGTTGTGCCCAGACTTGTGAAAATGGGAAGGAAATGCCGATTAGATTTACAGAAGAACTTTGGAGAGTTTATAGTGAAGTCTGTGGAACTAACTTGGTGTCACTAATGAACTTCTGGATGGTGAAGAAGTCAAACTTCTTCTTGTTGCTTCCTTCTATTAACCTATGATGGGGTAGTGATTCTGTTAATTATGTTCATTTTTCAATTTTTTTGGGTTCATTTTAATTAATCTGATTTGATTGGGTGACCATTTTCTTGTCTGATCCTGGGTCAATCAATCAATGCTTACATGTTGCAACTGCAAATTGAAATCAATTCATGCTTTTATGAATTGGTATCTACAAGTTCTGTAATTTGCTCAAATCAAAATAATTTAGAAAATGGCCCCTTTTTATTTTTTATTATTATTAGTTGTGAAAGAGCTTTCTTTTGATTTCATCCTCATCTGTTTCTCTTCTCTGTAACTCCAGCCAGACTTCATTGCACATTTTAGAATTTTGCATTCGAAGTCTTTATCGCTCATATATTCCCATCCCACCTTCCAGTTGCTGCAATCTATCTGTTGATATCCAATTATGATCCTTGTAACTATTAATTTATCTTCAAGGCCCGTTTGTTATGGAGTGTAATGGATAGGAGGGCTTAGGATGGAGGTGTGGTTATTTAGTGTTATATTTGTTTGTAGAGTTGGAGAAGGGATTAGGATGGATGAGGAAATATAGATAGAGGTTAGAAGGGGGATTGGTGTGAAAACCCATCTTTTAATTATTTTTTAAAGAAAATTAATTAATTAATTAATTAATTAATTTTGTCTACAGTCTATCTGAATTGTATATTAGTGTAAAAATTAGTTTTAAATTAACCCAATTCTATCACTAACAAAGGCCTTATTAAGAATAAAAATATTATGGATGTTCAATAATTAGTGTTAAAAAAAAAAATGAAGAAAGAAAGAAAGAAAGAAAAATTGTGTGGCTGTTTGCATGGTGATATGGGAACTATAAACCATTAGCTTTCTTAGGATTTAGGGAAAGCCATAGAATTTGGAGAAAGTGAGCAAAGAAATTAGAGAAAGCCTAATTCTTAGAACTTGGAGAAAGGGAATGGTTTTATTAATGAAAAGAATGTGTGAGAGAGAGGGAGAGAGAGAGAGCTAGCCACGGAGAGAGTCTATATAATGCACCTAGTAGCATGCACAGAAAGTTCATATTTTCTGGGCAAAGCATAAACCATATACATCCAAATAGAGGGAATTCTTGTGGAAGAAGAGGAGGAGGTTAAGGTTGCATATTTTTCCTACCATTTCATTATTCCATTTCAACCCTACAACTAAGTAAGAAAACCCTCTCAGTCCTCTCATTTTTTTTACATAATTGAAATTTTCAGATTGTATACATATGATACATTGTCTAAATTGTGTTGAAGATAATCTATGTTGAATCTGCCAGCATGTTACCCGAATTTTTAGACAATTTTATACTCAGAATTTCGAGATGATTTCTTCTACAAAGTTGTTGATAATGATGTCTAGTTTATCCAGAAATTTTTGGAAACAATTTTTGAGCTTTTTACGAATTTATACAAATTTCTAACTGAATCTGAAACTGTGAGACAGATTTTACCATGTATGTGAAAATTTATTTAAAATTCTATACTAAGCCAAATCTTGTAATTTCTGACTAGAAGATGAAATTTGAGAAGTCTAGTTTCATAATAAATCCTTAGATTATGGGTTTGATCTATAAATTTAAGCATGGAATTAAAATAAGGAAATGTGACAAATTTGTGTCATAAACACCCTTGGAATTTGTTTAGAATTATTTATAAGTTATTTTTGGGAAAAGCTTTCTGAAAAATAACCATAACATGTTTATTGAGTATCCTGTAGATTGATATGAATTTTAGAATTGTATAAGTAATGTATTTATAATTTTATTTGCAAGATATATACTCTGAAAATTTTTCTGGACAGAATGAAATCACCATTTTAATATTATGCTAGTCTAATTTTGTAAATCAAAAATTTGTGCATGTGTGTATTTATGGTTTAATTCTTGTATCTAAGTTATTATTTCATACCATGGTCTAAATAAATTGTTTATTTAAATTCTGTACTTTTATTTAGTATTGTGTGACACATGCAATATTTTATGATTGTGAATTTTAATGAGTTGGTATAGCATTACTTGTGATAAAAAAATTTGGAATTATTTGTGATTAATGTCAAAATTAACTGAAATGATTAACGGCAGATACAAAGTCAACAGTTGACGGTTAACACCGGTTGTTTAGGGTGAGCCCTGGTTTTGAGAATTCCCACGTAAATTGTGTTGCGAAAACTCTAAGATGGCACGGGCCTTATTTGAACCCTTTTCGGTATTCGGTTTGGAATAAGGGTGGATGTGCAGGTGGCACACAGGGAGGTTACTTACCCCTGGCAGACCGTTTCCTTGGGGCAGACCACGGATGCCACTACATGGGTATATAACTCCGGACGTGGGCATCCCCGGTAGTTACGATTGGTAACACTTAAATATTTGACCAAGGGAGGGTTTCAAATTAACCGTTGCCATGCTTAGTGGTTGGTAAGTTAAATCTCTTTGGTGAGATTTCGAGTGTCACCTAATTTATTAAAATTACTAAAATTATTCTAATGGTTGTAAATTATGTGTACAATTATATTGTTATCTCATGTTTAGAATCTTATTATTTTTCTCTTAAAAAGAATGGTAGGTTGGTTACGTTTTCTTACTGTGTTGCAAAACTCATGGCATATATTTTGTTGCCCTGGCGTTTCATGCTAGATTTTGTCGAGGAAGGGACTGGGGCTGAAATTGGAGCTGCTGCCAATATCAAACCTTGGCTGACTTAGAGTCAAGATTTTATCAGAATAAAATCCTGTTATCCCTTGTATCAGGATTAAACTATGTTGTGACGTTGTGTGTGAACTTGTAGTTTTATTTTGTCGTTGGATTTTGGCTTTGTAAAAAACTTAAAAGTTCCTAACTAGTAGTTAAAATTTTATCTAGCAAGTTATTGTTATTTAAATCTTATGACGTTTCAAAAAAAAAAAATTTTGGGCGTCACAATTGGGATGGAGGAGGTGGAGGTGGAGGTGGTATTAGAAAAATAGTGAGGGGATTAGAATTTTTTTTATTTTTTATATATTGAGAATTTTTTTTATATTTTTTTATTTGCTTTATTATTTTATATAAAAATAATTTAACAATTCTTACACTAACAACTATCATTAAAACAAACACAATTTTATTTAATCCCCTCACTAACAATCCCTTCACTATTAATCCCCTCCACTATCTCTGAAAACAAACAGACCCCAAGTGTGATGGCAACAGATTGGATTTTTCAGGTTTTGCATGTGAATTTTTTATTTTAAACTCAACTATTTTTGTGATATATTTCATATATTATTCCAATCTTAATAGTTTTGACCTTCCTACTCTCATAATTTACCCTACCCTATTAATGTTCTCCCAACCGTTTTTTAATAAAATCAAGTTAAGACAAATACAATCGGATCGGATGATTTTGCCATCCCTTCATAAGTCTTCATTTAATAATATATAATGGATTGATTTATGTGCCTTTTTACAAACTGAAAATTGATAATCATAAAGTAAAAGCTAAAAGTATTATTCATCTTTTTCAATAGTTTATTTCTCTGGAACGCTTCAACAAAATCAGTTTAATTATTTTTCTACATAAATAAGTGTAAATTTGGTAAATAAAAGTTAGTAGATGACATGGATTTGTTAAAGTTGAAGATTTCAACTTCATAGTGAAGTTAGACCTATTATCAAACAAATTTCAACTCACTTTGGTGATTCAAATAATTTATTTTATACAATTAATGAAGAGAATTATTTATATAAAAAATCAAGTTAATTCGACACCGACTGTCATATTACTAGATTATTTTTATATATAGGGCTTACATGTTTTTAAGAATAAACCATCCATGTATTATAACGTATATGTGATTTGTTTATATAATTACTTATATCTAATAAACCTAATTTTTTACATGCATATTCTATTCAACTTGTCAAATGAAATGAATAGTTCAAATTATTGACATAGGTACAAATTAGTCCTACAATGCACCAATTTTACTTGTGAAATTGATATCTCCAACTTTATCAAATTCAAACTTGATTATTTTATGTTGTTGAGGTGTGTTTAGGGAACTCTAAAACTTATAACGAAAGTAGTGAGAAGATTAAATGTTAACTTTTGAATTGTCATAAACTTCAAGGGGATTAATATAATTTATCTAAAATTCAAAACATAAACCTATAAGGCCATGTTTGTTTGGCGGGGTGGGAGGCCAGATTAGATTAAGATAGCTGTGGGTTTCACCCATAGCTTGTTTGATATTGATTTGGGAGGGGGGATTGCTAGTGTTGAGGGCTTAGTAATCCCCCTCCTAAGGCGATTAGCTTGGATGGATTTTAGGTGAGATTAGAAAAATAGTAAGGGGATTGAACCTATTTTATATAAAAATTTTATTTATTTTTATCAAGTGCACCTGTTTGTTTTAATATTTATTTTAATTTTTTTATTTTAGAAATAATTTATTTATTTTATATAAAAACAATTTAACAATCCTATCACTAAATCATCTTCTATCATTAAAACAAACACATTTTTACTTAATCCCCTCACTAAAAATTCTCACATAAATAATCTCTTTACTAACAATCCTTTCACTAACAATCACATCCAACTTAATCTGCCCAACAAACGTGGCCTAAGGGTAAATTACAATGACTTCCCCTAAGGTTCGAAAAAAATACATTAGTTTTATAATTCAGACATAATTATATTATACTTTCCTAATATTTTAATTCAGAAAATACTTAACTTCATTTTTATCAACAATTTGCTAATAGTATGGCTGAAAAAAAAATTGGTATTTATTTTACATTGAAAAAGAACTTTTTCATATTTAATCTTATATTTTTATATTATTTGCATTAATTTAAATTTATTTAATATTATTTAAAAGGTGATCAATAAGATTATATTAAAATTATGAATAAATTACAAATATACCATTAAGAGATTCATTTAAAATATAGTTTGTAGTTATACAAATTACAAATATTTCTTTATCAGGATTTGTCATTTAACCAAAAATAAATAGTAAAAAATAAAATTCTAAAATATCCTATTAGAAAATAATAAAATTACTAAAAGTATTAAGTATTAATTATATTTATAATATCATTAAAAAATATTACTGGATGTAATTATTTATCAATTAAAGGAATCATTTATTATGTGATTAAAAATAAAAAAAATTAAATATAATTTTTAAAATTACAAAAATAATTTGTTTTTTAAACCAAGAATTTATTTATAATTTACCCTAAACTAAACCTAGTAATTTACCCAAAAAAAAAATTGTTAAAAATTCTAAATATTTTATCAAATATTCTATTAAATATATAACGTAAATATAAAACTCACATCATATAAATAAGATATCAATTTACCCAACATGTAAAGGAGATTCAATTTATTCATTCAAGAAAGAGGTCTCTGCTACAACGATATATATGCACAAGTACATAGAGAAATAGACAGAGAGAGAGAGAGAGAGAGTGTGTGTGTGTGGGAATAATGGCGAACCCACCAAAGCCATGGAAAGCAGAATATGCAAAGTCAGCAAGATCGTCTTGCAAGAGCTGCAAGAACACCATCGACAAAGAGAATCTCAGGCTGGGCAAGATGGTTCAAGCCACTCAATTCGATGGTTTCATGCCTGTAATGTTCCAAACCCCCCCTTCATTCCCCATTTTAACCCTTCATTCCACTCTTTATTTTCCATTGCTTTCACTGTTTAGGGTCGATTGTGCATTTCTACTTCTGTTCTTGTTTCTTGTTTACTCTTTTTGTGCGGGTTTGTTTGCTTTCTTTCATGTTTCTCTCATAAAAGAGAATTTTGGGCTTTTTTGTGAGGGTTTATTGATGTTTCTTCTTTTACGGTTTGGAATTAGAAAGAAGAATTGTTTTGCTGTTCTAGCTGTCTGTCTATAGTGTGATAAATCTGGGCATTTTGTATTATTAGCAGTTCTATTAAAGGCTTGGCAAAAGTTGGTGGAATCAAGTGTATACCCTTTTACCTAAAAGAAAAATGTGATTGTACCAAAACTTTTAAGTCTTGCTTTTTCTTAAACTAGCTAGTACAAAGAAGGGACTGTTTTGGACTTATGGTTCATAAGGGCTTCGATTTCTTTGTGTTGGGGGATCTTCTTAGCTGTAATTACCCCCCCAAATTGATACTTTATATTGTTTGTTCTCCTTTGTATTCAATGTGTGATTTCATTTCCACTGAAAGAAAACTTTTTTCTTTTAAAAAAAATCAGATGTGGAATCATGCTGGATGCATATTGAAGAAAGCAAACCAGATAAAATCGTATGTGCTCCCTTACTTCTGGTCATAATCTGGACTGGCACAAGGTATATCCTAATCTTTTGTTTGTCCCATAACTGACCTCAACACTTTTGCAATGCTTTTAGCCTTGATGATGTTGAAGGCATAGAGTTGCTTCGATGGGAAGATCAACAGAAGATAAGGAAATATGTAGAGGGTGGTGGACCTCAAAATACCCCTTCTCCTGTTGTTATGGAATGTGGTATTGAAGTTTCACAGACTTCCCGTGCTGCTTGCCGGCGCTGCAACCAAAAGGTTATGAAAGGAGAGGTGAGTTATTATGTTCTACTATTCCTATTTCCATGAAATAATTGTTCTTTGATCATGGAATTTCTCTGAATAGTTGTGGAAGGACCTGGATATTTTTACATAGGCATGTTTGCCAAAGCTACTATGGAGATATTTTTTGATGAATTAATTATTGTAAGCGACATGCATTTATTCAACATAGTTATTCAGTTTCGGAATGTTCACAGCACGCTAGGCAGCTATAGACTCAAGGATGAAGTATTGTGTATTGACTCACTAATATAGTTCCTTGTTTTTCTCTCAGCCAGCTCACATGTGTTGTGTATACTTCCCTTACTTCTTATTGATGTTGTGTCATTTCGCTGCCATAATTTTAGTATCATCATATTTCTTTATCTGCTTAAACAGTTTCTTGACTAATCTGATCCTGGTGGAATGGTGTACCAGGTACCTTCAAATATCTAATATGGAAATCCTTTAACAAGGCATGTGTTCAAAGTAAAAATCCATTTGTTGTGTAACTGATACCAAAAGCTCATAAGCACCTCTATTATCTCCATGAGGTTATCAAAGATATGGAAAGAAATAAATCTCAAGTGACTCATGAGTTTGTCTATCCTGTACTGGTAATACATGGCAATTTAAACGTGCTTAAGGCTGCAAACAGGCTGAGTGGAGTTGAGTATGCAATGTTTGAGCTTGGCTCGAGCTTGAGCTCAAATCAAGACAAAACAATTACCCTCAAGCTCAACTCCAGTTTAATACACATGAGCTGCGGACCTGTGGTACAAGTGGTTGACTTATTTCCTTATCCCTCTGCACTTATATGAAGGTTTTGAATCTGTTGAATGCCTTGACAGGTCGATGTGGGACACTAAGTATTATAAACATGGGACCAAGTTAGCTAGATGACGTCATTTATGAAATGTTTTTTCCATTTGACCTTGTATCACATCGAAGAAATAAGGAAGCATGGCTACTTCATTCTTCATAAAAGTCTGTATGAAATATTCTTCGCTCCTTGCCTCCCACATCGTAGAAAGAAAGATGCCTCAACCATATCATATGTTTTGCCTTCATAGATATCCTATTTTTATTGATTTATCACTTAAATGAAGCTTGTAAAGCACATAAAGCACAAAAGCTAGTTAGATAAGGGCTATACATTCCTCCTGGTTTATTGTTTTAGCATTCTATGCTAGGTCCGGATATCCACCAAGCCCGAAGGTCAAGGTGCTAGAGGTTTGGCATGGCACCATGCTAATTGTTTCATGGAATTGTCTCCAACTACTCAAGTGGAGAAATTGTCAGGATGGGATAGCCTTTCAGCTTCTGATCAGTTGGCTGTTCGTGCCCTGGTTAAGAAGGTTCCCTCTTCCAGTAAAGGTGGTATCAAATTTCTTTTGTAAATATGTATTTTCTTTCAATACTGTTGTGACTGCATATTTTTCTAATCCTTACCTTTCAGGCACAAAAGTTGAACTACAAGAGGAGGACAAAGAGTCCTTACAGCAATCAACATTGAAAGGTGGTGCTAAACGTAAAAGAGCTGTGAGCGGTGATCAAAAGTCAAAACTTTCTAGAAGTGAAGAGAATTCCAACTTGCTGGGGAATGAACACCCCAAATCATCTGATTTGGAGAGTCTGCTGGAGGCTCAGACTAAAGAACTATGGGCTCTAAAAGACGATCTTAAAAAGAAAGTGACAACAGCAGAGTTGCGAGAGATGCTTGAAGCCAACAGCCAAGACTCAACAGGATCAGAACTTGACTTGAGAGACCGATGGTAAGGTCTCCCAGATGCAACTTCTTGCGGCCATTATCATCATGAGAAATCTGTACTTCCCTATGTTAAATACTTGAACCATGAGCTTATGTTATAAATGGTTTTACTTGCTGTTTTTATGTTTGTCAAGGAAATATTATGAATGATCTTAGTACCCGCTAATCTTCTTCTTCTTCTTCTTCTTCTTCTTCTTCTTCTTCTTTCTTTCTTTTTGACAAAAAACTTGAATTAATGGTTTAATATACTTAAACAAAATATACTCAAACTGTCTTCTTCTTCTTTCTTTTTGACAAAAACTTGAATTAATGGTTTAATATACTTAAACAAAATATACTCAAACTGTCTTCTTCTTCTTTCTTTTTGACAAAAACTTGAATTAATGGTTTAATATACTTAAACAAAATATACTCAAACTGTCTTCTTCTTCTTTCTTTTTGACAAAAACTTGAATTAATGGTTTAATATACTTAAACAAAATATACTCAAACTGTCTTCTTCTTCTTTCTTTTTGACAAAAACTTGAATTAATGGTTTAATATACTTAAACAAAATATACTCAAACTGTCTTCTTCTTCTTTCTTTTTGACAAAAACTTGAATTAATGGTTTAATATACTTAAACAAAATATACTCAAACTGTCTTCTTCTTCTTTCTTTTTGACAAAAACTTGAATTAATGGTTTAATATACTTAAACAAAATATACTCAAACTGTCTTCTTCTTCTTTCTTTTTGACAAAAACTTGAATTAATGGTTTAATATACTTAAACAAAATATACTCAAACTGTCTTCTTCTTCTTTCTTTTTGACAAAAACTTGAATTAATGGTTTAATATACTTAAACAAAATATACTCAAACTGTCTTCTTCTTCTTTCTTTTTGACAAAAACTTGAATTAATGGTTTAATATACTTAAACAAAATATACTCAAACTGTCTTCTTCTTCTTTCTTTTTGACAAAAACTTGAATTAATGGTTTAATATACTTAAACAAAATATACTCAAACTGTCTTCTTCTTCTTTCTTTTTGACAAAAACTTGAATTAATGGTTTAATATACTTAAACAAAATATACTCAAACTGTCTTCTTCTTCTTTCTTTTTGACAAAAACTTGAATTAATGGTTTAATATACTTAAACGAAATATACTCAAACTGTCTTCTTCTTCTTTCTTTTTGACAAAAACTTGAATTAATGGTTTAATATACTTAAACGAAATATACTCAAATTGTTTAAAAATGGTATTTAATTTTACCCAATTCTTTCTGCTCGCAACGTAGAGATCAAAGTGAGATTTAGTATAAAATACAGAGGTGTAAAGTGTAATTTATTCATTAATTAAATTAGATGCATGTAATAGTTTTGTATTTTTAATCTATTATTTAAAATTGAAGAAATACCAAGAATCATGAAATAAAGTATTATTGGTTGCTGCTTATCACGTGCCCGAGAAGCACTTGGTAATTGTGAAATAATCGCTTTAATAATTTTTTTTACTAAATAATTCATCTATAATGATTTGGCAAGGGTGTTAGGCTTTATATTATTGGATTTGTAATAAATCAAAATTGACACATATGATACTATATCATTGTCAGTACATAAAATTTTATGTGAGTCTTAAATATTTTCTTTTAGCAAAATAATCAATTCCCAACGGATCCATAATACACCATATTTGATGTTCAAATGCACCATCGAATGCAAGTTGAATGCATCCTTTAATCTTCATACGTTACGCCTGTTGGAAAACAGATCTTGGTAACGTTGAAGGAAGTGAAAATGCATTTATATTGTTTAAAAGCAAATGCAAACCTAATTTGTCGAACTTATCAACTTGTTTTGTTGTTTCATGGAGTGGATTAGGGTTGTTTTAATATGGAATTTCTGAATTCTCTTTGAAAGGTTATAGTTGATCAATTATGGATTAATTTTTGTTAACTGTTAGAAAATTTGTTTGATTGAAGTTCTTCATTAGAACATAGTAGCTATAGTAGCATCAAAAGGTTTCATGAAACCATTTTTTGAAAAAAAGAAAAAAGAAAAAAAAGGCCAAAATTGATCACAATTTATTTTTGTAAACTGAAATTAATAATACCAGAAAAAAATTGTTTTGTAGAAACAATCACAGCTTTTTGAAGGTAATATTACGATTAAAAAACTGTGATAAACTATAACCATAAACAATCCCACCTTCAAAGATCATGCTTAATGAGAAAGAAAAAGTTGAGATTGTTTATGAGAGATCATGATTAACCATTATTATTTAGTGTTTTTATAGTAGTGATAGGAGAGAAAGATTGATGATTTCGTTAACTGTACAACAGACAGATTAGCATGTAGGTCATTACCCTAGCCCATTGTGTGAAAAAAGTGAGGCTAGAATTGAAAATTTAGGCTGTGTTTGGTGTAGTGTTCTAATTATAATTCTACCACTTCATGTGAACCCTCTGTTTGGATACAACTTTCAAAATTTATTCCTCATCCGCGTTTGAAAACTCATCTACCTAGTTATCCCCCCGGACGTTCGGCTGGTTGATCGGAATAGTTTTTTTTTTTTGCACCTGTTATTTTTATATTTTAAATAAAAAATATTTTTAGATTTTTTTTTTTAAAAAATTTTATGAGCTTTGAATAGAATTTTGGATTGTGTGTTTAGTAATAAGTTGTAAGTTTTTTAATCAAATATCATATGTCACATCAAAAATTTCAAACTCAATTCAAAACTTTTTTCAAAACTCATAACCAAATTAATTTTTCAGATTTAAATCATAATTCCAAAACTCACAAAATTAAAATACAACTCTATTCTCAAATCATAATTTTAAAATTCTACAAAACACTATCTAAAAGTTTCTTAAACTCGTACGATTTGGCTTAGATTGAACCTGTTCGAGATTTTTATGATTTTTGTGGTTAGCTCTAGTTTAGGCTTTTAAGTTTAGAAAGGGCTTAAAAAATGCTTCTTATATGATCTTGCAAATCCTCTTCCGCTTATATTTCCATCAGGCCATCATTCTTATTATTGTTGGAAAAATTATTTTTTGGTGACTTTAATTAAAGATTAAAGTGGGTCCCAACCATCTATTGTGTTGGATCCAAGTGGGTCTAGATACTTTGCATTGAGATCTTTACACCACAGATAGAATGGCCAAAAACCATTGAGATTTGAATGAGAAATTACCTCATGAAGTTAGCTTCATGGAAAAAGGTAATGAAGTTAGTAACTCCTGCATTTATTACAGAGTTTAATAGAGCATTAATGGGGTTTGTAACTCCTGTATTAATGGGGTTTGTAACTCCTGTCTTTATTGCAGAGGTTAATGGTGCATTATAAACAGCCATAAAGGCTGGAGGCTCTTCCTCTCTCCCCTATACATGTATAAATTGAGACCCTCCTGTCAAGTCTCAAACACAGAAATTGTTTATTCTATTCTTTAGTCAGTTTGCCAAAAAGTTCCTACTATGAGAGAGTGCTGCCACTGTTTTGTTCGCTAAGCTAGACAGATAGTGCTTCTGTCGTAGCTGGTTTTGACCGTCGTATCCTGGGAGACAGATGCCGGGATTCTTCAAGCACTCAACCTGTGAGGCGGCGAAATCTGTTTTAAGGAAACTGCTACCGTGCAGGTTTCGGTTTCGTTTCTTTACCCTTTTATTATTTTGTGTATTTATGATGAAATTTAGTTGTAATTATCTGCATGTGTTCTTGGTATATAATTTGATTTTTTCATAAATCTATTTATTTAATTTATTTATTTAATTTCACAAGATGAACAACAAGCTTAAAACAGATTTATATATATTTTCTATGAAATTAATCGAATAGATTTATATAGACAATTATGTTAGCTTTGTATAAAGTTACTAGGAACTATTGTGGAGTTGCTCACTGTTTCAATGATACAAAATATAAATTTGCATGTTTAGAGATTCAAGTAATTTACATGAATAGGCCATTGTTTCTTTTTCTGTCGGTTAATTGCCAGTTCATGATTTTGCTTCTTTGCACGCACATAAAACTATTTTCATGCCTTCTTGCACTGATTCATCCTTCTAAGTAAATTAATATATTTGTGTTTGCTGGTGAATAGATCCATGTGTGTCTTAGATGTATTACATGCTAATTCTATTCTAGTCTCAATTTGTTACATGCTTATTATTTTCTAGGCTAGATTACATAATTTAATGTATTTGGAGTTATAGAGTTTTATGAATTGTGTACATGATTAATCTAAATTATCTAATTGTGTGCATTAATATGAATTATTTATTTGGGTGCATTAATCTGAATTATTTAATTGGCATTTTAATGCATTGGTTACTTATATAATTAAAAGTTGGCTAGATGGTTTCAATTATTTATTATAATTAAATTTTTAGATTATTTGTTTGTATTTTGTTGTGGTTTGCTACTAACTTTCTTTGTAGGAGTACCTAAGCGTAGAAAGGAATTGTATGGACTACTTATAATCCTCAATTGGATTGGTTTATTTTTCCTTTATATTTGAAGAAATTTTTTCCCAGAGGGCATGAGTTGAGCAAAGCCAGTAGGCTTCATTTTAGCAGGAGGGCTTCATTGAGAGCATGAGAACATTTGAAGCTTGCAAAGAATGCATTAGACGGAGGGCTACAGTTTGCCAGAGGGCTTCAGCTAAAGTGTCTTAAGGTTTGAGTTTGCTAGAGAGCAACAGCCAAGAGGGCTTCAGAGATTTAGTTGGTTTGTTTACCAATTTGAAGCAGCAAGTTTTATTTGCTTATATTATTAGAAGCATTTTATATGCATGTATTTGGTTGTAGCAATTTTTAAATTGCTTGTAAGTTTGGAACTTGGTTTGGTTTTCTAGAATAGAAACCAAAGTGTTTAGCCTTGGCTAAAGAGTATTATTTGTTCAGAAATGACAACTAAGACGGATTTAGTCTCAAACTTTTGGAGTTTGAGGAATTCTTTGGGTTTAATCATTTTATTCCCAAAGTGTTGGAAAACCAAATTTGGAGAAAGTCTTTGGTTATAATCTGATTATTTCC